TGCCCTTTTTTTGTCCTCTCCGATGGACCAGGACGACCCGGACACTGCTCAGTTGTTTCCTTGCTGTGTTTCCTGAACTGCACGATGATTCTGTTGACTGTCAAAAGCGGGCTTCCCAAATTCTGCAAAATTTACCGCTGACTTATTCCACCATCTGCTTGACCAACTATCCTTCCTCTAACAAAATCTGACAATTCGAGAGAACCTTGAGTTCTAGGCATGTTGTAGCACAAGATAATTAGTGTGCGGACCATTTTCATTTAAATAGTGCTCTGTGAATACAAATTAGTTAGCATAAATCAGTTAAATGACGAAAAATTAGGTGTCTATTTATTTGTGACCACTCAGTGTATATACATTCTACAACCCTCATATAAATTCAGAGAACAGGCCTTGTTTGTTGGAGAGAAAACAGTAGTAATTGAGTTGTTAGCAAGTGAAAAGGGATCACTGCTTAGGTCAGTTAATAGAGCTCTCACTTGGTGTCCAAGAGATCCTGGGTTCCAATCCAGGAAATGTTAAAAACACATACAGGGGAAGTCTTAAAAACTGTGCACCACAAACTTAGGCTTGTATGAACTTACTAAAAAATGGCAGTGCATTGTTTTCTCCTAAAAATTTCCCATTTATTACCATGCTAAATAAACTTGTTATAAGACAATTTAGACTTTCAGTTTAACAAGTTTCTCAAGTAATAAATGAGACTTCAAAGAAAAATATAAAGAATGTGCATTTAAATATATATATATCAAAACAAATAACATGAATTTAACATATCAAAATCTAAGTTTACTAAGTTTTAAACAAATTCTCAACATTTCCCATTTCTAACAATAACATAACATTTTGGGACAACAGGAAATAAATTGGTCCATCTTAGACCTTATCTTTCATATACTTAAAGATTTCTCTTAAACTCACTTAAATTTACTGCCTCCACACCATCCAAAGGCAACCCATTGCAAAGGACAACCACCCTGCTAGAAAAATAAAACTGTCTTAGCTAAAGATGACTTACCTGGCCAAAATAATATTACAAATGTGGCCTTACCAGTGACTTGTACAATGAAATTATAAAATCTTCAGACTTGTATTCAGTATTTCTGTAGATACAACCTAAAATTCTGTTTGCCCTACCACTAACAACAGCACACTGCTTGGATGGCTTTAGAGACTGATCAACTGTTACACCAAGATCCTTTTCTTTCATGATACTGTTAAGGTTATTCCCATCCAAATTATACCTATAATCCACGAGCCTTTATTATAATTAAAACCCATTTATTTGCCCAATGGTCTAGATCCTTTTGTAAACCAGCAGCATCCTCTTCACATCTAGCAACACCAAAGACCTTAATATCATCTGCAAATTTAAGTAATTTATTGACCATTCCTTCATCTATGTCATTGATGTAAATCAAGAAAGTGCAAAGGTCTTAAGACTAAGACCTGAGGTATTCCACTTGTGATATTAATCCAGTTTAACTGAATTCCATTTGTAACAACCCTTTTCTTTCCTCCATCCAGCCATTCTGTTATCCAATGTGCTAACTTATCCTCCACACCTATTGAGAATTTTTTTTTTAACTAGTCTTATATGGCACTTTGTCAAATGCTTTCTGAAAATCCAGCTACGCCAAATCTACACTCTTACCTCCATCTACATAAGCAATAACCTTT